TCCACAAGAGAGGAGCCTGAGAACTGGAAGATCTTCCTCCCATTCTGCTGCTGGAAACTCTAGGAACCACAAGTAAACCTGCAGCCTGAGAGTGAAGTGCTCTGTTAGGAAAATATGGAACAATAAGATCTGTAATATAATATGGAGCTAGGTTGTTGAGAGCTTTGTAGGTTAGAAGTAAGATTTTGAATTCTATTCTGGATTTGACAGGGAGCCAGTGGAGAGAAGCTAAAACTGGAGAGAGATGATCTCTCCCAGTAACTCCAGTTAAGACTCTGGCAGCAGCATTCTGGATCAACTGAAGATGTTTTAAAGAAGTATTTGGACACCCAGATAATAAACCATTGCAATAGTCCAGTCTAGACGTGACAAATGCATGGACCAGTTTTTCTGCATCATCTTTAGATCAGATGTTTCTAATGTTAGTGATATTACGCAGGTGGAAGAAGGAGGTTCTAGTAACGTTTTTAATGTGGGGGATAAAAGACACGTCCTGATCAAAAATAACACCAAGATGTTTAACATTAGAGCTGGAGGACAGATTAATGCATCTGAGGAGGCTTTGCTTGTCTTCATCTTGTCTGCGTTTGACGTTGCTGTGATTAATTTTGAAGTTTTCCAAAAGCAGCCGATGCCCTTCACACTGATTTTAGGCTCAAAAGGTTTAAACAAAACTGACAATAAACAGTTTTCGTGCAGCACAAACTGAACCCCCACCCCCCATCTACACACACTGTGCACCTTGGTTCTGTTGGATGAAAACATTTAACTTAAATAAAGAAGCACTCGATGTCAGGAGAATACTTTTTAACCCAGTTTACTTGCAAGGGCAGAGTTCACCACAGGCTGACAGATGTTTCACTGGAGGCCTGGTCGTGAAGCTCTGCGCCGGACAGTGTACGAGAAGTGTTTTATGTAATGCTTATCAGCACTTCAGGCCATGACAGCCTCGGCTCCCCAGCTCACAGACCCTCCTTGGAGTTCTCAGGCGCCTGCAGGCTCCTCTCTGAACTCACATGGTTCAACATTAGTTTAACGTTAGCAGTGATAAACATCCATAAAGCTTTACCAAAACTCCCCTGACAGGTTCAGTGCACTGAAATGCATTCGTTCAAATGTGTTTATGTGTTTTATTTGTGGCTCATTGATTCAGCCGCCTTTAAATGTCTGTTAGCGTGACTGATTGTGTGACCGTTTCGTTCTTCTAGAAGCTTGATCTGTTGTTCTTTTCAGCAACGAGCTGAAAGATGGATCATCCGGTAAACCCATCAGCAGCTCAGCTCTTATTTGAGCCACGGTTAAAGGGATCAGAAAGTCTTTTCTGAATTCCTCCAGGGGGTGCTGCGAATTCAGACTGAAGAGATCCAGGCTCCTGAAGAATCTCCTGAAGGAGGGAGGGTCTTAAATATTACAATCACAAACAACACAAACAAGTTTGATTTACCTCACCGTTGAACAAACTGCTCAACGGTGAGTATTTCCAATGAAACGTTTAAAAATGTATTTAAAATACAAAGTGAAACGTTAAAGGGTTTAAACAGTTTTCTAACAGTTTGGAAAGGAATCATATTCTGGTGGTTTTGGTGCAGAATCCTTGACAAGCTTCAGGAAGTGACTGGCCCAGTTAGGCCGTCAAGAACATTTCTGAAGCATCTGCTGGTTGAGGATGAGACCTAGTGAAAACAGACATTTAGTGAAGCAGTGCAACTCCACACTCTGAGTCACCGAGCAGCCTGCAGGGCTCGGGGTTTATTTTTGGACTGCCATCGTGCATTTTCCTTCCATTTGCAGGAAGGGGGGGTTGAGATGGACTCGGCGTGAACCTGCTGTTTGACACTTCAAGCTGGGACAAGCAGGCAGCAGCTGGCTGGCCAGCCCCAAAACAGCAGCCTTACAGGTAAACATCACAAAAAATACCTTTTATTCTCCAGACTGAGACGACGGAAACGGTCCAGCGGGACGTCTGCAGCGTTTCAGGAGCTCGGGGTGCTTTTTATTCTCCTCCTTCTACATTAAAGCACCAGCAGCTTGAGCCTCACTGTGTTTTTAACGTCTTGATGCTTTCAAACCTGCAGTTTGGCACAATGAGTTTGATTTATCTTCATCATTTAAGTAACTCTTGCTGAGCTTGATATTTGCAACGATCAGTCCTCAAACTGCTGTCTTGTTCTGTGAAGGGGGACCCTGCTGGGAGCACTTCGAACCCTGCCAAGATTTTCACCTGGTAAGTTCTTCCATTTGTTTTATTGCAACTGATTGCATGCATGGTTTTCTTGGAGTCAAACAACTTTATATTTAAGCTTTTAGCTTCATGAGTTTTAATTGCACAGTGCATTTCTATTATTACTCTTTCCTCTTTTGAATCTGGGTCCTGAAGGCATTCCAAATGTCAGAAAGCCTTAAAAGGAGTACTGAGCATCTCGTGTGTCAGGTGGGCTGCAAGTTTAGCAGGGAGGAGTTTTAGTTTACCACCACTGACCCACAATTCACTGGGGTGACAGTAAACTGAGAATAATGCATATTTTCTGACAGACTTCATGTGGTCAGGAACCCTTCGTGTGCAACTCGTTAAAGTCTAGTTGTGTGCAACCTTCAGATGTAACATCTTAGTAACAACAGTTTGGTACAAGCTGCGAGCTTGTCAAGTATTTCTGTTAAACTGCCTCTCGGGATTGGATGTCCTGAGTGACGAAGAACTTTAATTCTGTGGTCCGATTACTCACAACATGCTGCCGTCCAACATGAGTTTTGATTCAACTCAAGGACATTTGTTGCAGTGTGGAACAATAAGGCCAAATAAATGACTCTATCCTAATTATTAAGAGTTTATTTTTAGTACCTAATACAAAAGGTTTAATTTAAAATGACAAAACCTAACTTAATAAACAAATTCACAGCAATGGGGTTTGGCGCATAATTACAAGCTGCCGGCAGCAGATGTGTTTGAACACTTCTTCAGCAACTCAGCTGTGAGCGGCAACGTGCATTTTAAAAAGTTTAAATAAATAAAGAAGTTTTTATTTTAAAACGTTTAAATAAATAAAGAAGTTTTTATTTTCCTTCTGGAACATTGTTAATCTCCATGACCAGGAGATGATGCTGCTCAGACAGACAGACAGACTGACACAGACAGACAGAATGACAGACAGACAGACAGACAGACAGACAGACAGACACAGACAGACAGA